AGGAGTACGGCGGTCGATTCAAAGTTCGCGCGACTGTGCGTGCACGTGCTCTAACGTACGAAAGATGCGTATTCAAGACGAACGATAAACTTTCGATGCTCGTATCGTCATGCAATAACTGTCGGTTAATTCGCGTGTACCAAAACGTGCAGCATCGCGTACCGTATTATACGATAATTGCCGCCACCGTCTTTGCAGTGTCCTGTTCGAGTAATTTCAGTGCCATCGTTACCATCTTAAAAAATATTTCTGGAAGAAGAGAATATTCATAAAATTTTTATCTGTTTGATAAAGACGATAAAATTATTCAATTCTCGTGAAAAAAAAAAAAAAAAACAAAAAAAAAATTAGCGAGGAGTAAAAAATGACGTAACTTTATTGAACTGTATTAAAAGAGAATATTTGTGTAGCCATAATCTATGCATAATTACGTCAGCGATATAATTTTACAGTGAATCGAAGTGACACCCTCTATCGATAAAACTAATAAAAAGATAGAAAGAAGAAAGCTACAATAGTTACATATGTCATATCATTAAATTATTATTTGACGTTTACGAGAGGCGATAAAAGCAATTCTTGGGTCAAGCTGTGACATAGTTATAAGACTGGATCTCTAAATCGTATCTTAAGAAAATATAGAATCCACGCGATGCTTCCCTGTCTACATTTCTTTCAAAATATATGTAGGTATAATCCCGATAAGAAAATTACTTTTTACGTCCCATAAAAATCACGAATACCGCGTAACTTGGACGTAGAGATAATTCATGCCCGCGTCGAGATCGGACGTCAGAAGGTAAAAGGTTTGGTTTTATATAGGCGCATGCACGAACTCGACGAAGCAAGATATTACTCATACATCGCGCTGAATCCGCTGCTGCTAGTGGAGGTGGTGGTGGTGGTGGTGGTAATGGTGGTGGTAGTAGTGCTTGGATCACGCAATGCCGGCTTTTAGAGAGTCCTAAAGAGTCGTTGATCAGAGGCGAGGTTATCTCTTGTCTCTCTGCGAAAGCCGCTCGAATGAAAGGCACCGACAACGTCCAGCAGCGGGCCATACATCACTCGAGTCTTGTGTAAATAAGCTCTGCTCTGCTCGCGCCTTTCCCTCCTTCTTACGATCTTCTTCTCCCACTCATTCTTCACCAAGCAAGAGAAAGAAAGTGAGACAGAGATCGTCTCTCATCCAGCGGAAGTAGCATAAACCTTCCGTGGCAAACGTTCCTTTCGAAGGTGAACGAGAAAAGTTGTTTGCATTTCGCGAAATAGGAAAAGCCTATCTTTCCATTTCCGCGATATCGTTTCTTCTTTAATCAAGAAGTTTATATCAGCTACGAATATCAATAAAAGGATTCATTGACCGATATGCCAATCAATCAATGAATTATTGATCTGTATTAAAAGAAAAAAAAAAAAACAAAAAGAAAAAAAAAAGAATAATAATAATAATAATAATAAAAATAAAAAAATTATAAGAAGATAAGAATTATCACGAATGATTTACATATCATGGTGTGATGTTAGATTTTGATTAATCGTTCAGATATAAAAATGATCAAACGATTATCTTGATATAGATATTATAAATGAAATGATCTACGAGAAAATTTCTTCTCTTGTTCTCTTTCATCGCTCTTTTTTCCTTTATTGATAAAACCTTCACTCGCGATTAAAGCGAGTGTTTCGTAATTTCCTATTTGCCTTCCGTTATCGCGACTCGAATTACTGACATAAACTCTGGAAGATACAGGAGCGTTGTTTTTGATAGATATTGGATAATACCGCTTGCGACTTTCTTGGAAATATAAGATGACAGGTAAAGATAGATCACATAAAATATGTGTTATAATAGAAAATAATACAAAATGTAATTAAAATCGACCGGAAGGAGATAAAACATTCATTTTATTATGTATACGAGGAAAAACAATGTATTTCAACTTTAAAGAAATATCATCAGTTCTATTTAACAAGAATAGAATCTTCTCTTCGTCGGTATCGTAGAAGAAATCTTTCACACGATCAGGCGGATCAGAGGAGGAAATAAATTTGAAAATTTGTTGACGTTGATCTTTCGACGAGATAATCTTTATCTTCTAAAAGAGTCTCGACGTATCTATTGATGGTTAATATCCTTGAAAGCATTGACAATTATGAAGAAAAACGAACGATGTAAATCGGATTCGGATGTGACAAGTAAGCGGACCGTAGTTGTTCGAGATTAAAAGAAAGTATTGAAATTTTATTTCCGTCTAGACTAGAAGGACGAGATTAAAACGTTCTATTCGTCACTGGCGCCGAGATAATCGAATCGGCTGGTCTTGTGCTCGTCGACTCCGATGATTCTCCTTAAAACAAGCACGAGCGATCAAGACGCTCGTGAGAGAGAAAGGATTCCAGCTAGGATTCGACGATAAATACGACGTCATTTTATCGGAGATTATCCCTTTGAATATGACATAATTTCAGTATACGGCATACGCAGCCGCGATATCGCGCGGAGCTTTCAACTTCGTAACGCATTCGACAGCTTTGAGCCGGAAATATATACGGCATTTAAAACCGGCATTAAGTGCCCGTGGGGCACTTATACGACTAACTGCGTCCTGCTCCGAGATGCTTCTCCTCGTGTAGGTATGTATAAGCGCGTGCACCGTCATCGTACATATATTCCAAGCCTGCCATATACGATAAACATCCCTACAATAAAATAGCTATCCGAGTCGGCAGATAAACCGGTAATATGTTTCATGAGTAAATGGCCGGATCCTGATAAACACAAATTATGCGCTTACGCGCAATGTCTTTTCGGTCGTCCAATAAATTAAGGCCATCCCTCCTTCGTCCTTTCCCCTTTTTCCCTTCCTCCCATCGTCTCCTTCTCCTCCCTTCTTCACTAGCCTGTCGAGCTCTCGGTAAAGACCCGAAGTCGAGAGCCTCGAGAGAAATCGAGATAGAGGGGAGGAGGGTGAGAAGAAGAGGGAGAGGGAGATAGAGAGAGAGAGAGAAAGAGAGAGAGAGAGAAAAGGAGAGAGAGAGAGAGATCCGATGCGGAGGGTGTTAGTATAATTATAATTTATTCTTGATTAGCATTAATCCCCACTCCGCTGGCCCCGGCATTAACTTCTCCGTCGCTTTTATTGGTCCATTGGTCCGACGATAACTTACACTTATGATTATTAATGTCGACAGATTTATCGGGCAGCGGTACGAAAATCCGAAACGTAGAATAAAATCGTATATGTATATATGTATGTAATAAAAGACATATGTGCGTGAACGTATACGTATACGTATTCGATTGGGATACGAATTTGAATTCATGGTTAACTTGTTGCCTGCGCGAAAGTTAGAGAAACGAGAAGAAATCGCGAGAAGAAATTTTATGAACGAAACGAAAATATTTTTGACATTGCGTATAAGAGAATATCGAACTACGAAACGTGTAAAACGTGAATGTCAAGTCATTCAATTCTTACTCATTTTCAAAGCATGAACACGATCGTCGATGGTTTTTGCTAAATCGCATGAATATTTATAAATGTTAAGGTATCCTTCGAAAATCAAGTATGTTGGACGGAAACATATATATTTATATTGTATGTAAATTGAACCGAATTAACTTTCGGTAGAATATATCGAACTACTATGAAATTCTATGCTTCTTAATATAAATATAAATTTATACAATTGTTAAATATATATAAATTCTCTCGGATTTTAACGTTAAATCATGTATTCTATCATATACACAATTGTTATTAATTTCTAATATTAAATCTTATTAATAATAATTTCTAATTATATATTGAACAAAAGTAATCAAGGGTAGACGTATTACTTTGTACAATAAAGATCTCTCGAATCTTTCGTCGATTATTCGATATCGATTTTAATAAAATTTTCTTATAACTCTTTATTGTTAAAAAAAAGAATGTAATAAATTTTTAATTATTCGGAAAAATAACTTTGGTTTAAATCGAACGAAGTAATCGACCCTTTACTTTTCGTTCGTACGATATGACGTGAAACTTCGGTAATGATAGGAAGTCCGAACAATCAACGTCATCACCAACCTCATGGATGCTAAAATTTTTGATTGACTCGAGCGACATTATTGATCTGACAACGGATATTGATTACGCCTGAGAAAAAAATATTGTATCGGTATGCGTCAAAACGTCACTGCGCTCGATTAATGGCGTTACCTTTATGATTTGTATTGACGGATAGATACCTATCACCCGAGATGAGTCTCTCTATTAAAAAATATGAAAAACTAGTGAACAGAATAACGGCATTCGTTTCTTCTTACGATTATCAACATTTACATTAATTTTCTTTCTCTCTCTCTCTCTCTCTCTCTCTCTCTTTGAGACACAATCATGCAAACTGTTTTATTCAAATTCGATTCTCGCAAATCATTACTTAATTTTATAACGTTTTTGTATTTTCAACTGTGCATAAAAAATTTCTCTCATTAAAATATTTTTAATATTTAATAAAATCAGTACCATTTTGAGAGAAATCGAGCGATTCATTTGAAATTATAAATGAGACATATTAATCCATTAAAGTATCTTTTATAGGTTTGTTAGTATCGATTCTTTTTCCTTCAGCCATTTCGTTAATTTTTAATACATTGACGGCCAACGATTCACTGTGAGAAGTATCATATATAACTGGCGACCTTCCGTTAGAAATTGTTATTTTATAAAAATCAAAATAAAAAAAGATTCTAATAAATTGTAATCATTTCCCTTCTTAAATTGAAATAACATTAATAATTGATTTTTACAATCTATATTTCTTCAATTAAATTTCTTCAAATAATTTTATCTCAAATAAATTCATTTAAATAATTTTACCCTATCGATTACCAATGTGTTAATATTAAAATATTTATAACGAAATGCGGGTCATATTGAAAGATTTCGAATGATTAATATGCAATATAGCATAGTAACATTTTCGCAGCGATAAATAAACTAGATATAAAATTTAGTTAGATTTATTTTATTTTAAATCAGCCAATTTGTTTCTATAGTTGACAAAATTTACACACATTTATGGAACATCGTGATTCGTATAGATTCTCAAGCGGAATTGAGAAATTTTATTTCTTTCTAGAATTATAATAAGAGAACGTTTTTCGATGATTGCCTAAGAAAGCATTGATAGTCATAAAATGATCGAAAAGATTATAATTTTAGGATTGGTTATACGTACATGTACACATATGTACGTATAAGTCAAAAGAAAATATATTAAAAAGGAGAAATCGATATCGCTGGCCTTGGCACAAGCTTCGTAAGTTGACGTTAATGGTTTTCAAAATTCTCTTATCGGAGCTATACATTATAGTTAATAGATCATAAGTGCGTGACTAGTGGCTCATGACAAGAAGGAAAAGAGTAATTTCTGAAAGTTGCCGCATTCTAATGTACAATAATTTCAAGTCGCAACTGGTTAAGAAGTATACATAAAAACGTTATATTGTCGTATCTTTATTCCTTGACCTATTAAAAATTTTATATATATATAAAATCTTATAATAATATTGAAAAGAATTTCTCTTTACGTTTTTTCTTAAGGATGGAATTTTCTATTTATTATTTTCCTACTATATGCAACGTTGTACATAAATACGTGTTCTTAAAAATAAATATAACATTGTAACGAACTATTATTTACAATGATTATATATATGAATAGAAATAAAGTCACACATGTTATCTAGAGCATTGCGACGACTGCATGCAATGATTGTATTTATGGAAATAAACTTCCGTTTAAAATAAATGTAATCGTTACACGCGATCGATGCTTCCTAGAAAATAAATCTTGATCGAAAGCAAATCGTAGCCCATATAATACGTAACTACATACATATACCAACTTCGTAGCTATATCCGCAATCCTCCAGCCGCAAAGCTTCATCCCTCTCAAGGAGAAACGACATTAACCACTTTTATCCATTTAAACAAAATGTCAAAGTGCCAGATGATAATGCTCCGAAGATAAATCAAGCATGCTGAAAAGATGACGGTGATAAATGTAAACACGTCTGCCAGGCGGCCCGGGAGATAGTTACCGAGATACACGACAGGTCGTGACTGATGGCGATGTCGTGAGATGTGGTATCATAATAATTCATAAAGGACGAGGCCAGAGGCTTAATCGTTGATTAATGAAAGAACAGACTTGTCTCGATCTCTTCGCTTTCCTTTTTCGTTCGACTTCTCTTCTTCTTCTTCTTCTTCTTCTTCTTCTTCTTCTATTTCTTATTCGTGTTCTTCATCTTCTCTTTCTTCCCTTGGAGCCTTTTCTTCATCCTCATCTTCCTCTTTCTTCGGTTCTTTCCTTCTCTTCTTTGGTACATACATACTTGTAAACACCAACAGAGCAGGACAAGTAATCCGACATGTGTTTGTTCGAGCGATAGACCGAATTAATGCCGCGACGTGCACGTTGAGCCGTTGAGTCCATAATTCACCGACAAAATCCAGGGCCGTACGTAAAGAAGTCTCTCGACTACAGGACACGAGATACTCCGTTCGGTAGATCATTACCAAATGATCATTACCAAAGGATCATAATGAAATGATCATATCCCAAAGGAAAAAAAAAAAAAAAAAAAAAAAAAAAAAAAAAAAAAAAAAAAGAGAGAAAAAGAAAGCAGATGAGATTTAAAACCTATCGATTCGATTAAATTGGTTTTTAATTCGTTTTTTTTTTTTTTATGTAAGTATTAATACACACTTTATATAGAAAGCACTCTTATACCTACGCAAGTACTCGAAACTCATTATCGGCTAGATCGAATGGAATATGCAGCTACCACAAAACACTTAACGGAGGCCTTACTTATAATCTACATACGCGTCGAGTATTTCAAAACTGCCTTTTAACGATATACCTCATCTCGACGGTTACGTCGAACGAGACGTATAATGAAGGAAGATGTATGGTAACGATCATTACGAGAGATATATTTAACGAGCGGAGTCGATTTGCTTAAACGACTATACTTAAAAAAAAAAAGAATAAAAATAAAAAATAAAAAAAAATAAAAAAAGAAAAAAGAAAAAAGACAAAAGGAAACTACTTACTAATTATTCGTTTCGAGTTCGTATTCGTCGCATTATAATTTGAATTAATATTTATTTACTGATTTATCGTAGAATTCATGGCTCTGGACGTGCCTCTACATATTCATGGTTATCGAACTGACGGGAAAGATATGCGGGCGTCGGGCCACGCATAAGTCGCGTGCGGCGATTGTCGGCATCAGGGTGTTAAATTTGAAGTGACATTAATCTGACCGATGATATAGACGCTTTCGCTGGAACGACATCGAGTAATTCAACCGTTGGACATTTTCTTTTTTTTTCTTCTTTTTTTTTTTCTTCGTGCAAGTACAGCTGTCTTTAATGCTAACGGTACGTTTCTTTAACGTCGGCCATCTTCTATTCAACCGGTAGATCGATTGATCTTTTTCCATAACGTTTAACGCCATTTAGATATACGTACTTTATTTCGTGTAATATGTTAAAACGACGAGGCGACAAAATCTATCGAGAACCATTCAATTTCTGAATAGAACGTCGGTTCAATAGATTCAATATATATGTATACGTATGTATATACTAGATATACATAAGTATAGGAATATATCGTTTATATTATATATATATATACGTACGTACGTATATCGAGTGCGATTCAACATCGGGATTTACTGGCAGGAAAGTAGATAACGGTCTTACCGGCTGTTTCACGTTTGGCGTATTCCACTGCCATCTAAAGATACTTTCTATCAACTCGTAATCGAACCTTTAAAATTGTTCAAAATACTTTTTGAGAGTTTAATTAAAGTGAACAAGTGCAGATTTTCGATTTATCAAAAGAAAATTAATTGACTACGTTATGAGACATAAAATGGATTGATAGGAAGAAGAGAAAATGAATTATCGTTCGTTTCCTAATGAATAACTCGAAGAAATTTTATGAAAGCATTTCCTATTCATTAAATAATAAATAAATTAATCGGCATATGTTTTATGATATTCCTAGTAGATAATCATTTTCACGTGTAACATTGTTACTTTTTCTTACATACTTCTAAGAAACAAAAACTGACAAAGTTTTTACAAAACGATATCCTTTTTTCTCGATGAATAAGCATACTGTTGACTGAAGTTAAGTTACTAAAGAAAAAGTTTGAATATCTCTGTAATTTCCATTTCGAAGAAACGTCAGAGTCAGAACTTCGTAATATATATAATGTACCTTAACATTTACGAACAGTTGGCTTTCGTGGACGTGCACTTTTTTCCAATCATCTGTAATAATGACGATCGTAAAAATAACTTCTTGGACGTGTCATTCGAAATTCATAACGTGATAACGTAATGTTCGTTGCGAATGTCGAACTAAAATACCCGTCAGCTATCGTTAAGCATTCGTTCACATCGATTTTAACGAAAAACGAACGTACCACCTGAATAAACGATACTTTTAACGCGTTACGTTTAATCCTTTGATTCGTATAAATGCGTATGATATAGAGATTGAATTCATTCGGCTTATTTGAATTTACTTTTATTTTTTTTCTGTGAGTTCATTCTATCTGATATTGATTACTTTTATATATAACATTGCAGATTTTATATAAATTTATAGCCTTTACATTGAATAATAAGGAAAAAAAAAAAAAAAAAAAAAAAAAAAAAAAAAAAAAAAATAAATAAAATAAAAAATGACTGAGATTAAATTCTCTAAAATGGCAAAAGTAAAAAATAATATACTGTTTGTTACAATGTATATATTTGTGAATAGTATTTTTAGGTCATGCTCGGTGAATACTAGAAAATATATTAGACAGCTAGCATTTAATATATTAGACAGCTAGTTATTGCCGTAAAAGATTTCTTACGGCGATTTAATCTCTAGATCTCTACTGTAACGTGTTCTGTTGGATTTGACGTTGTTTCATATGGTTAATAATCATGTTCATGAGTTCGACGATTTGAAACTAATCTTTTGCGAAATCTATTATGCAAAACTACAACTAATTATGAATTAATGATAAACAGCAAAAACACACTATGTAGAATATTCAACGAAAGATAATGCATATCAGTGTTAATATCGAATATAAACCAAATTTTATCAATTGCACAACTATACATCACAATATATCTATGTGATTGTATTAATGGAAATAGGACAGTAAATTGCTGTTCTCACCTAGGTGCAATTATCTATTATTTATTGGATAAGCGTTATAAATAAAAAAGTTATTAAACCATTTGAAATATTAATTTACTTACTTGATTCATCTGGTATAATGACTTTTATCGATGAAAATTAGCACGATGAAGATTAATTTATCAACTTTTATTTAATTTAGGTCCGTAATATTATAATAAGATAATTTAAGAATATTATCTCGTTTAATACGTCTCTTTTAAACTACAAGGTGATTCAAAATAACTGGTAAAATATATATATATATATATATATATATATATATATATATATGAATTACCAACAAATTTTATTTTATTTTTATTTTTTTATTAATTAATAATATAATTGTAAAATTATATTTTACATGTTCAAAATGATTACCTTTATATTTAATACAAATTTCAAGACATTTTAGAAATTCTTAAATCATGCTCGCATATTCTTCCAGTATTATTTTACGTCGAGTTTTATCCTAAATATTTTTAAGTTTAACATTTCAAAAAAGATAGTGTTGTTTATATATATATATATATATATATATATATATATATATATATATATATATATACATATAAAAAAATATTATAGCAATTATTAGTAAACTAATAATATTTCAAATAATATTTTAAATATACTTTTATGAACATATTTGAGTATTAGGTGTTTTACTTTATTTGAGCATGAAAAACTTTATAAATACATAAAATCAAATAGAACTTATATTTTATTTAAAAAACCTTGTGTTCAAAAACTATTTATTATTTATTATTATTATTAAATATACTAGCTCATATTTGAATATTTATTTTGAATTTAGAATCTACAATTTTTAAATATCTTTTTATTTATTTTTTTTTTTCTACATTAATACATCAATAATATTTTCCCCTTAAAAATACGATGCAAAATATGCTATATTTTATGAGATATTTTTTTCACGAAATTGTATAATAAACATCCAACTTCTCCGCTAACTTCGAAAAACGAAATTGCACGTAATTTTACGTCCTATTAATTTTAATAATATAATTCTACTATATATACAATATAAGATACTATCCTGAGCTAACATAAATAAACTGGCAACCTTGACGGAAATCAAGAAAAAAGGTACAAAAAGAAATATATGACTAGAGAGAAAATTCCTCAGAGAATTTACTCATGGTTTCGCTCATCAACTGTCTACAAGAAAAATTACAACATAAAGGCTGTACCAATACGAACCTTGTCCTTGACAAAATAAGCACCAAAGGGACTTTAATTGTTTTACTTTCTACTTTGGAAATTTTATAATGGCTTCAGAACACTCATCTGTTCCATAAATCAATCCGTAGTGCACAAAATCATGTTTTCATTAAAATTGCTACGGATTAACAAAGTACAATTGTAAAATTATTTTAAAAAGATAATAACAAAATTATTACATGTATTGTAATTAAAAATCGTAAAACTAATAATTGCAAAATTTAAAGATTTATTCGATGAAGCTTACAAAATATAAAGTCATTATTAATATGGACTTTAGAGTTTATGTGCATGTGCGTATGTATATATATATGTATGCTATATAATAATATATGCTACATGAATCAAATATGTATCATATATAACTACGTGAATCAAATATCATCAAAAATTTGATTGATCATCGATTAATGACTTATGAATTACATCACAACATATAAAAGAAGGACCAATATCATGAAAATAATAACCGAAAATTCAAGAACAAATATAACGTAATACTTTCAGAATATAAAATGAAAATTATTAATGGGGAATAATTGAAAGTAGATGAGCTATCACAGTACTGACGAATATGCAGATAAATTTAATTACGTACGAACATGATTTCATTTCAATAAATGGCTATGTCATTAGTTATAACCCATTAATTGCAAACTTTAATTAATTTTGAAAAATATTTCAGCAAGATTTCCTTCTATTCTTAATCTCATTCTATATCTTAAAAAAAAAAAAAAAAGAGAATCAATGAAAAAGTTTGGCCGAATAAAATTTCATAATGTAATATCTCATTCATAAGTCCGATAAATTGATAGTAGGTAACGAAATGCGATTTCGCAAAGAGCTTAACGAGCTTTAGTTCGTGTCGCATGTTGTTCGACCGCGTGAAACACCGCCACCATCGAAGTTTGCTCGTGTAGCAGAAAGGGGAGCCAAGGAAAGTGAGAGATAGAGTACGAGAAGTGGGTAAACGAGAAAGAAAAAGAGATAGATAGATAGAGAGAGAAAGAGAGAAAGAGAGAGAGAGAGAGAGAGAGAGAGAGAGACAAAGAGAAAAGCAGAGGGAGAGAAAGTAGAAAAAAAGCAAGGAGTAAAACGC